GTGTGTGTGTGTGTGTGTGTGTGTGAGTTGTGTGTGCATTATATACTGTAAAAATATACCGGCGTCTGTGGTATAGTGCTTTGCTCTCGCTTGCAGGAGTTTGATCCCTGAGTGGGGAGAATATTTTAATGAAGTGTCTCAGTCTTTCTGCTGTGATGTTGTATCCCTCACAGCCCAGGTTGGCCCTGACAGTTTGGTTCAGAAGCCCCCTTCCTAATGATCTAAATTGTGTCAATGACAATGGGGGCATAAAAACCCCCAAAACCCACCCACATTTGTAAAAGATGTGAGTGGTGGTGCCTTTCTAAACAAAACAATCAATTTTACAGGTAGAGTTTGACATCTGACATAGTACTGCATGCTAGCCTAGCACATTCTTTGTTTCCACAGAAACATGACTGGGCCAGAATAAATACTGTCTGAACCTAGGGGTAGAAACAGATTGGGTTATGTTCTAGATGTGAACAGGTTATTTGTTAACGGGTGCTCAGGTGTGATATTCTGCTCCTCTCTTTTTAATTCCTACAAAAAATCTATAATCTTTATAAATATCTCCTCCTTCTTTTGTTTGTCCGGCACCTACAATGCATGACGTATTTGTGCTGCAAATGCCGTAAAATTCTTACTAAAATCACTAAACAGGTAAATTATCTTTTGGTTTGGTGTGTTGGTGCGATATTTTGCACTGTGGTATGGTGTGGTGATGGGAAGGAGTGTAGAGTGATTTGAGTTTGAACTTTGCAAGTGGGCTTAGGAGGGTAAAATGAGGTGTGGTGCAGAGTGCGGTGTAATACATCATGTATAATATAAGTGTAGTGTGTGGAGCAATGTGCAAGGAATGGAGAGGGTTTTCGGAGGGGTGTTCTGGGGGGGGTTGTTTTTATTTATTTTTTGGACACCATTGGGCGATATATTTGTATTGTGTTGCGTAATGTTGTATAAGGAATTGGGTTTTTTAAAATATTATATTGTATGGTGATTGTGAAGGTGCATGATTAGATAGGGCATTGAGATGGAATGTGTTTTGATCGGGTGTTTTGCTGTGTGCATGTTATCTATTACAGTGTGGAGTGCTGCGGAATGTGTGAAGGGTTGCATATCATCAGTGGGATGTGTGGCGATGGTGTTTTATGATGGGTGGCATGTATTTGTATTGTGGTGTGGTGGGATGCAGAATGTTATGGTGAAAGGTGGCATAATGTAAAGAGGTGTAAAAACAAAAAGGTGGAATGAGAAGTGGTGTGAATGGATTTGTGGCAATGGGTAAGGTAATATTGGTATGTATTGTGGTGCAGTGTGATGTGGAATGATATGATGCCGTTGATATGGAGCAGTGTTTTGATGACAAGTGCTGTGGTGTGGAATGGTATGATACTAAGCGATGTAGAGCTGGGTGGTGTAAAGTGGAGTGATGTGGAGTAGTGTGGTCTGGAGGTGGGTAATGCAAAATGGTGTGATCGGGAATGGTGTGAAACGTGGAGTATACGAAGTGATGTGGAGTCGAGTGGTGTAATGATGAGTGGCGTGATCTGGAGTGGGGCAGAGTATTGTGACTGGGAGTGGTATAATGCAGAGTGTGCAAAGTGATATAGAGTGGAGTGGTGTAATGCAGTGTGTAGTGATTGGGAGTGGTATAGTATAATGCAAAGTGTGAGAAGTGATGTGGAGGGAGGGGAGTGGTGTACTGCGGAGTGGTGCAGAGCGGTGTAGTGCGGAGAGCAGAGCAGTGGGATGCAGAGCGTTGTAATGCTGAACATTGTAGTGCAGAGTGATATGAATGGGCCACGGGTAGTGGTATGATGTCATATGACGTTGAATGTTGTGAAGGAGTGTACAATGTAGTGATAATATGTTTTGTGGTCCTGTGTGATGCAAAGTGCAGTGGTGTGAAGTGCTGCAGTGTGATGTCCTGTACTGTCAGGTAGTGACAGGAGAAGTGACAAGTTTAAATGTAATATGTGAGGCAGCGTGGTGGAATCAGGCTCTCGTCAATTTTTGGGCATGTAGAGTTATTGGTATCATCTCAAAGGTTGTCGACTTGTCTTTATTTGGATGAAAAAAATATCCATTTATCCTGAATAAAAGTCGAGATATTTGTGATTGAAAAGGGTGGGGGTCACCTGTTTTCAGAGGTAAAATTAGTGAGAAAATGGCCGCCAAAGATTAGTTATTTCCTTATCCTAAGAGTCCGTGGAAACTGAAAACATACAGTTTTTGTGCCTTTAATCATCCTTTTTCAGAAAACTCCACACAGAAATTAGTTCTGGGCATGAAAGGTGTAAAGCCAAAAAACAAAAGTTTGATAAAAATTCATAAACCTGTGGAAAAATGCAAGTTTCTTCACTTTGATTATTTTGACGAGAGCCTGATTCCACCACGCTGCCTCACATATTTAGTTTTCATTTTAAAGCATGGCGCAGAGTGATGTTACATCTACCAGTGAAAATAAATTAAAAGAGTTTAAACTGACAATCAATCTAATTGGTCAAAAAACTGCTTCTCAAATTGTTGACTAGTTGTATAAAAATATATACCATAATTCGATGCAGAATTGCCAATAATATCAAAATTAAAAGCACAATGAGATAATTTAACACAGTAGTCAACTGACATGGGTCATAAATTTTTAATACATGTATATCATATCTTACAATCAGATATTCTTAAAAAAACATACAACAAGCACACTTTTATAGCATGCATGGTTCACATCTGTATAAATTAACATTCTACTGCCTAATGATGTCAACAATTTGTCGTTCTTCTAGCAAAATAGATTTGGCAAAGCAGAGGAAAATTGGGAAAGAAAAGCTGAATTTTGTATTTGAAAAAAAAAAGAGTTATCATGAATGTTGTAAAAAGTCATAATTCCTGAATAGGCCTATCATTCTCCCACGAACTGGATTTCAATTCAACTCATCTGCCAAGACAGAATTTTATTTCTATTTACATAACAAACCCCCAGACAACTGCTCAAATAAGTAATGACATTACTCTTTCTCTGGGAACATTTTTCTCTAGGAAACGTTGGTTCTCTCTGTCAGATCACGTGGTGTTTATGCGAGCTCAACAATTGGGTTCCTTACTCTTGGTTTGTTAGGGTTGTTCTCCAAGAGCCAGTCAGCTAACCACAACTGAAAAATAAAATAATTTAAAAAATCAACAGCAGTTCAAACACCAAAATTCACTGAGGACTTTTAAAAACTTATCTTAAAAATATAAACACAGACTAATAGAGTTAGGACAGATACCTCAAGATAAGCCACTAACCTTTAAAATGGATGGATATAAAATTTACCAAACAAATTATTCATGTACAACAGAAGCTAACAAGGTAACTGAAACTTAGTTATTACTAAGCATAAACTTTGGTCACAACCTTATTTTACAGCAGTGCAAAATTGGGAATGGTTAAGAGAGAGAACCACAAAGACAAATAAATTTAATCCATTACATTATTATAAAGAAATAATATTTTGCCACAATATGACTTGAATCAGATAACCTGAGAAATTCTTTTATAAGGACATTAGAACAGTTAGGAATTTTCTTACTTTTGCATCAAAACACAAAGATATTCAGTTTCACGGAATCAAGTGAATTGCTCTGGAAATAATCATAAAAAGGAAGCAGAGTAATGTGTTTTCTAACTGAACTGAATTTCAATTCAACTCATCTGCCAAGACAGAATTTTATTTCTCCAGACAACTGCTCAAATAAGTAATGACATTACTCTTTCTCTGGGAACATTTTGCTCTAGGAAACGTTGGTTCTCTCTGTCAAATCAATTGGTGTTTATGCGAGCTCAACAATAGGATTCCTTACGGCGACATAAATTTTATTTTGGTTGGCTCAACAATTTTCAGATTAGAATTTGATTCAAAGAAAACACTATACCGATGTTACAGTGAAGTGTAGAGAAAATGGTTAAAAACGCAAACAGGACCCCCTCCTTCAACATTCTCTTTTCTCAGTAAAACAATATCTTTAGTTTACAGTACACAGTGAGCAAGGGACAATATTTTCACAGAACAGAAATCATTAATACCACAGGGTCCTCTGGCTTCTTCTTTGCCAGATCAGTGAGTCCTTTGAGCAGGGTGGGGTTAACAGATTTTGACAAATAATCCTTCGCTGCCTGGCCTGTAGCTACTGGTTCCACAATGGCTGAAATATTTTAATGCATAGAAATAAGAATTATTTTTTCTGGCAAGAATTACTTTTAATTTGTCACATGCGATAAAAAGTCCAGGAATGAAATGCAGATCTAACAGAACATTCCTTTTCAATAGTGGTAAAAAAAAATTTAAGTCAACACAGACATACTGCCTACAATAAGGACACTTAATAGAAACAAATTTTTAAATTCTTGTAATCTTCCTGAAGTAGAATTTTGCTTCTTTTTCTGACAAGACACTTACACAGCAATATACTCTTCAGCTTTGCACTGAACATCTCTTAAAAGCTGCTTACAAGTGATGCTCATTTCTTTCATCACCCCCCCCCCCCCCCCCCCCACACACACACCCATTCACTGATTCAAACACCAAATTGTCGAAGGCAGTGCCATACTGTCTGTCTTTGACCACACCCCACTACCCTGCCCCTACCATCACATGACTAGATTTTAAAGAGTTCTAACAGCGAACACACACAACAGGTGATGTGCAATGATGCGCCTCGATACCAACAGTGTATGTATCACAAAGAGCGGGAGTGAGCCTGGTGGGCTCACAGAATTTGACACATGTATTCTCGATGATCATGGGTGTGTTCATTGTGGGTTTATTTTTCCTGTTGCGCATGCAGGGTGATTTGAATTTGAGACAACAGCGAGGAAAAATGTGGTCAGACTTTTTTAGATGAGCGGTTTTACACATTCACATGGTTGTTCGATAATACAGTGCTGCCAATACAAAAACAATATAACAGTTCAGTCAGAGAATAGCATATGTGGCATCGTGATGAAATCAGGTGCTCATCAAAATAATGAAATTTTTTAATCCAACATTTTTCTGCCCGTCAGGCAACTTTTATCATTTTTTTTGTTTTTGGCTTAACACATTCTTTGTTCATTTAAAAACACATTCATATGTGAAATTTACTTTAAAATATTAATCAGAAGTACAAAAAATATAAATTTGCAGTTTCCAAGGCCTATGCAGATTTGGATTAATCAAACTTAGGCTAATTTTACCTGTCACCAGGTGACTCCCGTGTCTTAAGAAATTTTGACTTCTATTCAAGATAGCTGGGTATTTTTCTCATCAAAAGCAAGTCAAATGAACAAGCTTTAAGATTATACCATCAACTCCATAAGTCCCAAAATTGATGAGCCCCTGATTTAACCATATTGTGACACAATGTTCGAAGTATCCATGAATTTTAATTTTGAATGCTGGAGTTATCTGTGCTTGACTGTATATTTGAATGCCTGCAGCCTAACTTAAACATTATATAAGTGCCAACATTCTCTTAAGAACATCTGATACCATTAGTATGTCCTGATATTGCTTAAAGCACGACTATGTGGAAAATTCATATTCAAATAAATCCTCCTTTTCCCTGTTAAGGATATAAAGATAGAGATATGATGGAAACTTACAGTCAGGAAAGAAAAATCTGATTTCCCTTTGTGAACTGCTGAAGCTGTCACTGCCGTGAAGTGCGTTTCTTTGGTCATCTGTTCCATAGAGTGCTCGGAGGCTGAAAGAAATAAACAAAACAAAACATTAATTATGCAATTTCGTATTATATCTAGTTTCACAGAACAAATACTCAAGTTGAAAATAATCAGTCCAGTACATATATAATTCATTCAGTTTAGCAGCTCATTGGCTTGGTGGCTGCAAGTGGCATATGTTGATATGCTTAACTTCTCAGGAAAGCTAAATGGGAAAGACTTTGTACAGGACAAAAAACACTCATACCTGTAGTGTCCTAGATACGGTTATCACACCAAGTACGGTATTAGTATTTCAAGTCGGTGTTACCCGCCTGTGTGTTATGCAATGTAGGTCAATTAAACAAAGAAAGTCTCAGAACACCCGTTCATGGATGTCGCATGTGTTTTTCTTATTGTGCTAGCCCCTTCAACATAACAATACCTTCAATGCCAAAAAAGTCGGTTTCTTTCATTCCTAAAATTTGAAATTTTACCAATAGAGTTTTTACCAGTTTTGGCAGTAGGCCTACATACAGAGGTGTCCAAAAGACACTTGAAATTGTATTCACCCAATTATCATGTTAAAGCTTTGCACTACCCACTCATACAACATACAAATTTAAAGCTGAATAAATTCTGCATCATCTGATACATTAATATTCATCTGCTACATCTATATGATTTGCCCGAGATATGGTCACTCAAAAATTAACCTTAAAAAATCAGACTTCCCAAAATCCTGTGATATCAAAGAAACCAGTGTGTCTGTATTGAGGTGCACCAACATTGGCAGAGTGGACATGTATTGTATATCAAATAAATGGAGAATTTTTTTGTCGACTATGAATGATATTTTATTAGGATAGTTTGAAACTGATTGGAAATGAAGCAGTTACAAGTAACCAAGCAAAACTTGGTCTTCGCATGTGCTCATAGTAGTTTTTTGTTCAGGAGACATTGGTTTTTGTATAGAGCACTAACTCTTTGGGTATGGACTGTGCTAAATTTTGGACATAATTATCTGTCATTTCATCCCAAATGTCATGGAGAGTTGCAAACAAAGCATCTGAACTGTAAGCAAAGTTGTGTTTCTTCAACTGCTGTTTCATGGGGCTCCGCATATCTGTTAGATTCAAATTGGGGCTGTTTATTGATGACAACTCTGTTGTTGGTATGATTGTTTTTTCCAGAATTGTCTGAAGACAGCTGTGTGAATAGGTGCTTTTTCATGCATAAAGATGTCTACTTGAAGGACAATATGACATCAATAAGGATACCACATGACATTCCAGCACTTGTGCGATGTAGTCATCTAAACATAGTCTTCCATTGATTTTTACCAAGTGGGGGTTTACTTCATTCCAGCAAGGCTAACCTTAATCATGGCAGTTTCATGGCCTCTGTTCCTCAGTGACAGATAATTATGTCCAAAATCTAACTAACACAGTCCATGCTCAAAAGTGTTGATGCTCCACACAAAATCAATGGCTTGTAAACAAAATACTAGTGCACATCTTTAACATCAAGTCCAAGTTTTGCGTGGTGTCTATGTCTGCTCTGTTTTCCAATCTGTCTGAAAATATCGGAAATAAAACGTTTGTCATAGCAGCAGAGATAAAAATATTATTATTATCATCATCAATGCCTTTCACCCCTGGCCACATAGGCCACATACAAGCTCCTTCGATTTATCTCTGTCCTGAGCAATCCTTCCAAGCTCATTCCAAGTGAGCTTCATCTCTCTCATGTTCCTAAATTCCACACATCTCCACCAGGTTTCCCGTGGCCTACCCCTGCCTCGTGCTCCTTGTGGGTTCCACTGCAGTGACTGTCTTGTGATGTTTCCGCTGGGCTTTCTTAAAGTGTGTCCCATCCATCGCCACTTTCTTAGTATAGTCTTCCATTGATTTTTACCAAGTGGGGGTTTACTTCATTCCAGCAAGGCTAACCTTAATCATGGCAGTTTCATGGCCTCTGTTCCTCAGTGACAGATAATTATGTCCAAAATCTAACTAACACAGTCCATGCTCAAAAGTGTTGATGCTCCACACAAAATCAATGGCTTGTAAACAAAATACTAGTGCACATCTTTAACATCAAGTCCAAGTTTTGCGTGGTGTCTATGTCTGCTCTGTTTTCCAATCTGTCTGAAAATATCGGAAATAAAACGTTTGTCATAGCAGCAGAGATAAAAATATTATTATTATCATCATCAATGCCTTTCACCCCTGGCCACATAGGCCACATACAAGCTCCTTCGATTTATCTCTGTCCTGAGCAATCCTTCCAAGCTCATTCCAAGTGAGCTTCATCTCTCTCATGTTCCTAAATTCCACACATCTCCACCAGGTTTCCCGTGGCCTACCCCTGCCTCGTGCTCCTTGTGGGTTCCACTGCAGTGACTGTCTTGTGATGTTTCCGCTGGGCTTTCTTAAAGTGTGTCCCATCCATCGCCACTTTCTTAGTATAGTCTTCCATTGATTTTTACCAAGTGGGGGTTTACTTCATTCCAGCAAGGCTAACCTTAATCATGGCAGTTTCATGGCCTCTGTTCCTCAGTGACAGATAATTATGTCCAAAATCTAACTAACACAGTCCATGCTCAAAAGTGTTGATGCTCCACACAAAATCAATGGCTTGTAAACAAAATACTAGTGCACATCTTTAACATCAAGTCCAAGTTTTGCGTGGTGTCTATGTCTGCTCTGTTTTCCAATCTGTCTGAAAATATCGGAAATAAAACGTTTGTCATAGCAGCAGAGATAAAAATATTATTATTATCATCATCAATGCCTTTCACCCCTGGCCACATAGGCCACATACAAGCTCCTTCGATTTATCTCTGTCCTGAGCAATCCTTCCAAGCTCATTCCAAGTGAGCTTCATCTCTCTCATGTTCCTAAATTCCACACATCTCCACCAGGTTTCCCGTGGCCTACCCCTGCCTCGTGCTCCTTGTGGGTTCCACTGCAGTGACTGTCTTGTGATGTTTCCGCTGGGCTTTCTTAAAGTGTGTCCCATCCATCGCCACTTTCTTAGTCCTATTTCTACTTCTATATATCTAATTCTATCCTGCCACTTAATTCTTTGAATACTCCTCATACATCTGTTGATGAAAGTCTGGACTTTATATAATACTATTATATCATATATTCATTATTATATATATTATTATTATATCATTTATTTGATAAGTAATATTTGTCCATCCTTCTAATTTTAATACACTCCAATACAAGCGCAAAGACACTTTTATGTTTCTGTGATTTCACACAATTTAGCCAAGTCTGATTTTTAAAGGTTAATTTTGAGGGACCATACCTTGGGTGACTCTTATCGAAGATAAAATATTAATGTGGCAGATGATGCAGAATTTATTATCTTTGAATTGGTATGCTGCATGAGTGGATAGTGCAAGGCTTTAATACAATGACTGGGTGAATACATTTTCAAGTTTCTTTTGAACACTACTGTATATGTGCAATTTCTTTATTTTTTGCTTAATTTCTATCACACAACTCTTTTGTAACAATCACAGTGGTCGCTTATGGAGCCTACCATGGGTGAAGGACAAACTGTGTAAAAAAAAAATAAAAAAATTATCCCATCTTCTCTACTTTCCCACTTCATATAACCCGACATATTTGCATTCAATCCTAATTAGATATCCAATCTATGCAAATAATCATGTCTTTTGTTTTAGTAAGAGTTTTGCGACACTTGCAACACAATAGGTCATATAAGTGTCGAAGATTAGAGGTGTTACAAGAGAGTAACAAACACAAAAAAGAAGGAGGATGATAGACGTTTTATAGGAAAGAAGGAGCAAATCACTAGAGCACCCGCCAACCACCCACAATCACGTCTTGACTGCATTTTAAATTTAGTCAGACTATATCTATAATTTATCACAAAATAGTTAACTTACCACTCAGGGTGAGTCTGGCGAGCTTTGATGGTGTTGGTGGGCCCAATGAGCTCTCTCCAATATGAAATGGCGCGATCCTTTGCAATCATCAGTGTAATGATAGGTCCACTGCTCATGTAAGCTACAAGGCTAGGGAAGAACAGTTTCCCATAATGCTCTGCATAGAAGTCACTTGCTTGTTCAGGTGTAAGATGTACTCTCCTTTTCTGAGGATGAAATTTTACAAGTTACCAAAATTATTTTAATCTTTACCCCTTCAATGCCATATGCACACCTTGAAATATTGAGGAAATGTAAAATGCATTGTATCAAAAGGGTTATTTTATTAAATGGATGCAAATTCTATACAGAAGAATGAATGTATGTTGGTAAATTCTGAAAAGTCATGAATGATCATCATTATTATGTTTCAATCTTCATGAAGCTCTACTATATGTCCCTAGAGGAACAGTGTCAGATATTCACCTATATATAAATAAAAAGCCAAAGATGCAAATAGGCTCTGGGTAGGAGAACTCCACATGATCCACCTATATCAGAAGTAAAAAAAATTAACACTTTGCAGTCACACAGCCAGCAGTACAAAATACCCGCATATGGTCAACCCAGCCAGGAGAGCGACTGCAACGGACTTCTCAGGCCTGGCGTACTAGCGCAGAACTGCGACAAGAGACCAGAACGAATAATTTTCACCGGTGCATTATTGCACCTAGTGACCACAAAGAGTTAAATTTAACTACCCATGTATTTAACTCGTATTCGGAATTTAAGGTACGTTTTTGAGACCACTTAGAAATATATATACACAATACTGTCCTCAAACTATGATACGCATCATTTTGTCAGGAGCATAGGATTAAAATAGAGCTATAAATTTAAAAGAAAATAGGCTATAATAGCTTTCTATCATTGTCTTTCTGTTTATCATGTACGCCTTATTTATACTGAGAGAAAATTTATAAAAGAATAATTTTAAAACACTGTTAAGTTGGTAATTATATTGAACAATAGAGTGCGTACTAAATAGAGTAGTTTATGTGCACTTCTCCACATATTCTTGTCAAAATGTAAACTTACCACAATGAATTGGGTAATATATAGAGGTAGTTCAGCAATATTCAACACATGAGGCAGGCCCATTTAAGGCATTTATATGGACATCTGCTATTTCTACTACACTAAAATCACCCATATTCGACAATATGCTACAGAATTATTGTCATCAAGTTGGATATGCACCCAGTAGGCTACATTTTGTTCAGTACATATCAGCCTCCTAAACTACCTATAAAACTGATTTATAACATAAAAAGCTAACTTACAGAGCTGCTTTTTATCACAGGGCTGGGATTTTTCCTCATTATTTATATCACTAGGGCTGATGAAAGAGATGTAGCTTCCAGTGCTGAGAGAGATCCAATAAGCTCACACAATATCATAATTATTTTAGCTTGACAATACTACTGTGATGATAGTAGGAGGCCTACTGACTGATACACAGCACTTTCCACGGCACGGTACACATCAACTGGTGCTGAATGAAAACAAAGCCTAACATTTAATGATCAATCGGTATACCGATCAATCAAATGATACATTCATACCCTGATTCAGCAATATTCCTAGATAAAAACACCAGACTGAAGTTCTGCAGTCTCTGTTATGAAAATGTAAACATTCACTTGATACGTTTCTTTACCTGTAAAATTGCGAATCCCGATCTCAAAATAATGTCCTCGATTTCCTCTGCTTTATGGAGGGCGTCTGGCTTGATAATAGCCAAAGTGCGTTCCACATAAATGTGTGGAGGTTCCATCGTCACTTGATCATCACCACCTGTCATCTTGTCAGTTTTATTTTTCACGATAGACTTTGAATTCTCTCACTGCTTTCATCTGAGATCTCTGCTCTCTCTCTCTCTCTCTCTTGGATGATTTACGCCAGCGTTGCTACGCGATGACGAACGCGATCTCGCTTTTTCTCGGGGAAATGCACGAACCCTAACACAGCAACGAGATTGTTTGAAAAGATGGCGGCGGAAGCAAAACATCTCCAGACTTGACTTTATTGAAGTTCTGGGGTGTTGAATGCAAAGTCCCAGCATTGAATTGATGCTTTCAGAAGACGGTGCTCCTTAAGCAGTCGGATCTGTTTTGGAGGCAATATGGATTCTGTATGTTTATGTTCCCTCCACACCACAGTTAACACTTTGCTCCCTCACAGTGGCGATTCGATTGTTGTCTTACTTTAGGAGAGTAGTAGAGTAGATCTCTGTCAGATTCTTATTCTAGACTCAAGATCTGGATCTAGATCTAGATCTAATATAGATCTAGATCTAGATATCTAATCTAGATTTAGATATCTAGATCTAGATCTAGAATCTAGATCTAGACACGACTACTTTGACTTTAGCCAACATAATTGTGTGCTTTACTTTGTTTTCCTTACTACTGCTTACAGCTCAGACTAGTCTTATTAACTAGTCTAGATATCTATATATTATTTAATTTAGACTATTTTGTCAAGATTTGCACTCTACTGACTATGACTTTTAGCATTTTTGGGGGACACTTTGGGCCAAAGTAGATTTAAAAAATAGGGAGGACTTCCGTAATGAGCGACCACTATCACTATGAGTATGAGACAGTAGAACAGAGGGGTAGGGTTTAGGTTTGGAGTATGGTTTGGGTAGGCTCAGGGTAGGTCTCTATATTGTGTTTGTTGGGGGTGGTCGCTCGTTACAGAAGTCCTTCCAAAAAAATAGATGATCTTAACCCTAGAAGCGTTCAGAGTTTCAACGGAAGTAACCCGCCAAAAATGCACCGCCACCACTGCTGATTAGTGGTAAACATGGGGGTTTGGTTTGGCAGGGGGGATATCTGCTGTGATACCAGAGATGTATACCTGCTACTGAAAAATGACCATTTACGGCTCAACAGATGTTAAAAGGCATATAAAATCATATCTTTTCTTAAAGTTGATGGAATGAGCCATTCAAAAATGATAAGCGATCAAATAAATAAATACAAAGTGCAAAACGCGATAAACTCAACAATTAGTACATTAGCACAGCGGAACAAGTGATAACACATACAGGGTTCATTTTTGAATGACTATTGGTCAATTGACCCACTAAAGCCAAAATCAATGGGTCAATCTTGTGAGTGATGGGTCAAGTTTGTTGGCTACATGCATGGACGGCAGAAGATATTCGGAGACGTCTCCGGCAAGCACCCGGGAACTATTCGGAGATGCACTCCCACACACAGATGCACTGCTTTGGGGGGTTAAACTGCGTATTATTTGCTGCAGATCACACATAGCTATCACTTTTTCAATGTCTTCATAAATTACTTTGGATCTTAAAGACTAATACAGTCGGACCTGCCCTGACTGTACAAATGGCCACTTTCCATCTCCCCCCGCAGTAGGTTGCGTTTTTTCTATATAAAAAACAGGCACTTGTCCAACACAGCCGCGGCCACGGCCACCATTTTAACACACATCCCCTATCACACCAAGCAATAACACTTGTTTTAGACGGCCACCTTAGTGACCCCATTACGTTTTGTGCATTGAGCCTTGGCATTGTGGGCGAGCCGTCATAATTCAATCACCTATCGTTCTTGTTAGGTAGTCCCTCCAACCGTTCATGTTGCGTAGACCCCTCCCACTGTTGACGAGTGGTAACGACCCATGTGTTTGTTTTACCATAGCACTCGGTCCTCCTTGTCTGACACATTTCGTTTTATTGTCATCATTGCTCAAAAGCAACAACGAAAGAAAAAAAAAGAAAAAAAATCACAGCGAAAACGACAACAACAACAATAACAACAACAACAATAATGCGGCTACTTTCGGTTGGGACCTCGGAAAGGAATGGTTTGTTTTCTTTATCTTGATCAGTCCTGCCTAAGATGGCCACCTGTCTTATACAGCCACTTTTCTCCTTGACTATGGGTGGCCGTCTTACACAGGTTCGACTGTATTTGCGTGAAATTTGTTGAATTGCGTGACATCGTTTTTACTGCAACCGATCACCCCTCAGTAAAGCGGTTCGGGAAAACCTGCAATGAAGTCATCGGTGATCTATTTACTTATAGGCAGCCAATCACATGCCGCCTAGCGATCATGGGCCTCTTTCATGCCGACAACTTGCGTTTTGAATCCGTGATCAAGTTTCCAGCTCTAGTGTTTTATCAGTGGATGAGTGGTAATTTTCAGTTGGTACTTAAAATGTACTACACGCAGAGATCTGAAATTTTACAACAATAAAGAAGTCTTATGGGGCGCCTGTGTGAACAATACGCCCATTGACTCAGTGCGTGTGCAATCAATGGGTCATTTTCTGATCCAATGCGCCAATTGGCGTGTGTCAAAAATGAACCTTGCACATACCGTATAGTCTCTCAGCTGGACCGCGTAACTTTATTGAATTATATCTTGGCCAAGAGACGCTCTGCGAGGTCAAGATAACTTGCAAAGTCATTAGTCACTATTTATAACTTTGACCTGTAATTTACTACGTCTTTTTCCATATAAGGAATACTGAAATTTTCCATTGAAAAAGGTCAGCGTCTATGCCCTTTATATAGGGCCTGTGGGCTTCCCGGTCGAAGTAGGTCAGCCCTATATATATACAGTGGAGTCCACTTATAATGAGTCCTGAAACAACGAGAAGTCTGTTATAAAGACACTATTCTAAAACCCGGTTTTTTCCATTCTTTATCTTTGTAAATAAAATACTGCTATAGCGCAATCGGACAAACACAGGAGTCGGTTATAGTGGAATATTGCTGCTGCTGTGCACAGCGCACAGGCCAGTTATAACATATAAACCTCGCCAGTTGAGAAAATTGTTGGTGATCTAGCGAAACCTCGGACCTTACACCAATTCCTTGAGCGAAACAAAGAATGGGAGAGCCCACGTTCGCCAACAATGGAGGCCGGAGCGAATGAGTGGGGAGGGTGTGGTAAGCGCAGACAAGCAGAATGCATCGCGTGGTAGTGATAGGCCAGCCTAGTCTAGATTATCTAGGCCTACCATGCCTCTCACTTGTCCGATATGGGGGCGGAGAGGTCACAGCATTGTGATGGGTGGAGTGAATGTGTAGTGACGTACACAAGCAGACAAAACACACCACGGGGTGTGGTGGGGTGGGGGACAACACAGCAGGCGAGTTAGCCCAGAGTGCATTCTTTCTGATCGCCAACGCCGTGCTGTCAACATCGCTAGCACTTGAGAAAGAAACCCGATTCGACTTTTGATCAAGTAAGACCTGGAGGTCATGTTGAACAATGTCATCATTAGCCTAGGGGAGATTAAAAAAAATAAACAGAACACCAAACTCATAGATTAGGCCTACTTTATTATTTCCATTGAATTTATTACTGGATTCCTTATAACGAGAATCCTGGTATAACAGACATTTCGCACCGGTCCCCTCCCTCTCGTTATAACAGGATTCCACTGTATACAGTCAAACCTGTGTAAGACGGCCACCCATTGTCAAGGAGAAAAGTGGCCGTATAAGACAGGTGGCCGTCTTAGGCAGGACTGATCAAGACAAAGAAAACAAACCATTCCCATCTGAGGCCCGAATCGAAAGTAGCCCCATTATGTTGTCTTTGTTGGTGTTGTTGTTGTTGGTTTGTATTTCGTTTGTAATTTTTATTTTGTCGCTGAATTTGCACAAGGGTGACAATAAAACAAAATGTATCAGACAAGGAAGACCGAGTGCCATGGTAAAACAAGCACATGGGGCCAATGCACAATTTATGGCAAAACGTAATGGAGTCACTAAGGTGACCGTCTAAGACAGGTATTATTGCTTAGTATGATAGGGGTTGTGTGTTAAATTATGGTGGCCGCGGCCGTGTTGCACAGGTGCGCGTTTTACACAGTTAAATTATATATATAGAAAAAACGCAAGGGGGGAAATGGAAAGTGGCTGTATGTACAGGTGGCCGTCTTATAGAGGTGGCCGTCAGGACAGGTTCGACTGTATGTATGTATATATATATGCCTGTGCGCTTCTCGGGTAGCCCGGCTCACGCTCTTTATAAAGGGCCTGCGCGCTTCTAGGGTTAACAATCCTATATTTCCCCACAAAACCCACACCTCTTCTATGGACCAGATATAAAAATCAAGTTCAAAATCTAGATTTAGTCTCATTCTATTATATTGTGAAGAGATTCACTTTCAAACAATGCTGCAAAGAGAGGTCTGGATCATTTAGCATAAATCCTTCTATAAGTAGCCTATTTGGTTATTCCCTACCTCTCAATATATAATATGTCTAATTTTAACTTTCAAAGTGATCAGATTTGACAAGTAGACTCAACATTATGGTCCCAAATTATGCTGACCTTTCTTATCAAGTCATAACGTTCGAGTTCTCTCATGGTCTAGAGGTACGGTGTTCGAATCTCATTCAATAGGCCCTGTGTTCGAACCCTAACAATGCCAACAAATTTACCTCTCTAAAATTTCTCCTTTCACCTCCTTTCCTATAGAGTCATGCTCTGTCATTCCTGCCTTCATCTGTACTTTCTGACGCCCACCTTTCCCCCCATCCTCTTGTCTCTTGACTCTTTCTACTGTACTCCACACTGCTGTCTTTCAGCAACTCCCCTGATCTCAGGGTGGGTAAGATCGATCACCTAGCTTTCTAGGTTAAGAGCGAAAAATCTTGTGAAATTCCTGTGTGCAAGTTGAACACAATAAAGATCCCTCAGTGGTTCTAAAATTGATAAGGATGGGCTTTGGCAGCCACCACCCATGCAAAATTTAAAATTCCTTCTGAAACTGAAAATAGTCTTATCAATATAAAAATATGTACAGTACCTTTGAAATCAGAATGTGGCTGCCCGACCTGAAGCAAGGGCCCAACTTAGTAGGAAAAACGGTGAACGTAAAGATCAGTAGCACCACAGGTTGAAGAACCCATAGCCAACCACTCATGAGGTCTAAAAGTGAAGAAAAAGAAATTGTCAGACACACTCTTACACCTTCTTTGAATCCAAATGTACTAACGATGTCTCTCCTTTGCCATCGGAGCATATCAAGGAAGTGAAGGTTAGAAGGGAGGGAAGAAGATCTACTTCCTCTTCTATGTCTACTGCCCAGGCAAAGCATACTGCATAAGGTCGTCTGTCAAGACACACTAAAGACCATCATCATAGAGTTGGAGTTATTTACGATATTTCAGTAGTAAATCAGATACATCATAACATATGATACTGTAGGCAAGTGTCAGAATCAATCTTGGTATGTGATATATTTGTAATTACTTATATTTTTCATCTACTTTTTAAATTATGTATGGCTCACTTTTTTTGTTCTTCTTTTCAGCTGTCTGGGAAAAAGAAGTCAAGTAAGTTGTTTTCATCCATATAATTTTTGTTTGATTTTTCCTGTGTTTTCTGATGCTTTTTTAAAGTCACCATGCATTGACTACTTGTCATGTGCAAAATGTTGTTCTCTGAATTGAGGGTTTCCCTTTTTTTTTCATACTTCTAGGTAGTATAGTACATAGAAACTTTGCATGGTCTGGCCTTGAAGTTCTTTGATTTCAAATAATTGTTGAAAGAGAGGTGTGACTAATGTGAACATTGATTATCAGTTAAGACAGGGCTGTTTGTTCTGAACATGTCAATCTGAGAGTATAAAAGGAAAGGATCAGAAATTTCCCAACACACTTGCTTTTACGAATTTGTGCAATTGTTTCCTTTTGACAAAGACCCTGATCAAGAATGTTAAGTCTGCTGAAGATTCCTGTTGTGTTTTTTTCTTGTGAACTGCACCAGAGAACTTAGAAGTGCTTTAACAACATTGTCAAGAACAGGTATTCGTTGTCTCTGTATTGTAATTGTTTCATCGTCCACTGTTGCTCTGTGGGTGGTTGATGGGTGCTGTTGTGAGGTTTGCTCGTTCTGTCGTATCAAACTTCTGTTGTCCTTATCTCTCCTCCTCGTTTCCTTGTACTCTCTAGTAACACCTTTAATCTTTGACTCTTTAATGACAATTTTATGTTGCAAATGTAAGCTGTTGTGGGTGGTTTTTCAAGTTTTGTTACATTGTTATTTTGGGTCCAAGTTTGACTTTTTTCTCTTGGTTTCGTCCACTTGTGCATATTCTTTCTGTTACAATATTTTTCAGGAAAAGACAGTGATGGTTTAGATGATTTACTGGGAGATCTTCTTGCTGAAGGTATTGTATGTTGTCTTTTATGTCACTTATTCGAAAGCTTTTATTTCTACTGGCTTTCAGTTTCACTCTTTATCTCCGGAGGGGTTTTTCTCAATAGGTTGGAGCCCTGTTTTGTTACAAAACCAGAGAGTGATATATATATAGGTCACTAAATTGGTCATTAAATGAAAACAAATGAATCTATTTTGATAGTTCTTTTCTGATGAAAGAATTCCTGGTAAGAGAAACATATTTGGGGCAATTGCTGAAAATTAATGTAATGAATAATATTGTTGTCAACATCACAACAAAATCAGCTCCAGCTGCTGACAACCAATCACGAGCACTGGGTTCTGGCTTGCAGTGGCTTGCAGGAGATAAGGAGTTGATGTAGCTTAACTCTTTTTATCCTGGCCGTACCCCCACGGACTCTGTCCCCGTCCTGGGGCTTACGCGCTTACGAGTTGGAATTCATGGTGTATATTTCAAAGTGTTCTTTTTCTTATGTTTACTCTAGAGTTTAAGGAAATTTGGCAGTTATGTTAGAAATTGAATGTAGATTTTGTAAATGTATGTGGTTAGGAATAACACCAATTGTATAATGTAGATTTTGAGGTGTATTCCACTCTCCAACTTGACCCTGATTGCAGCGCACACGACGTCCCATTGGATTTTATAGATCTAGCCCTACCCATCGATACAGCACGAATTCCAGTGCTGACCCCTTCACCATGATCTGAATCACTATAAGACGAGTCTAAGTCCTGTTAGTTATCATCCACAACAGAATTTACGGCACTTGATTCAGAGTCACTTTCATCAAATTAGTCTTATTCCCCCTCACAACCCACGCCACTTCAAAAAGTACTTTGTCGGTCGTGAACGTGTGTTTTCGAGACATCTTTCAAGCTTCTACATCCATCAAAAACAATCATTGGAAAATTTAAATATTCAGAGAGAGCTAGCATGGTCATATTTGTGTATTTTGGTAATTACAAGCGGAACAAGCATCTTTGATATGACCATATCACTGTTCCGAGTTTACTCGTAGCCCGGATAAAAAGAGTTAACAGGAAATTGAATGTTTATTTTAGAACAGGCGAAATCATCAAAGATTGCCTGCCATTGTCAAGAAAAAAGTGTCTGTCTTAGATATGTGTCTTTATGACTGTAAAAAACCCCTTGAGGTGGGAAATGGGAAGTTGTCATATGTATACAAGGGATTAGTTTTAAAACGTAGTAGCCTAAGTTTTCTTCATTTCTCTTGTTTCCAGATACGCCATCAAAAAAGAGAAGCACACCAACTGTGAGCATTTATTTCTGTTTGTCTTTTAGTATATTGTGCATCGTCATTCATGTTTCTTAGTACTGGAAACTGAACTCATAAATGCATATCATATGCCTGTTTTCTCACTGTCTTTGTTTAGTAAATATTTTCACCATTTATTTTAAATTATTATTTCCTGATCACAAGTGAAGCTTAAATTTGCTAAGGATGTCTTTTAGTTGCAAGTTTAAAGATTACTTTTATACTAATTTTAGTAAATGTGATTAGAACACTATAGAATAGCAGAGTGTTTTGTAACCAGACATTTTCATTTGTTTGTATGTCTTTTTGTTGGCAGGTTTGTAGAACTGAGACTGAGATAAAAGAAATAACATAAGACGTTTAGATAAACCCAATATGAAATAGTCACTAATTCTGGTGGTTGCTTCATTATAGTTTCACTGCTCATAGCCTGAAAAGGCCTGTCTTACTACAGTGGAGTCCACTTATAACGAGTCCTGAAACAGCGAGAAGTTTGTTATAAAGACACTGTTTTAAAACCCCGTTTTTTTCCCTTCTTTATCTTTGTAAATAAAATACTCATGCTATAGCGCAATTGGACAACCAGGGGAGTCGGTTATAGCGGAATATTGCTGCTGCTGTGCACTGCGCCCAGGCCAGTTATACATATAAACCTCGCCAGTTGAGTAACTTGTTGGTGATCTAGCGAAACCTAGGACCTTACATCAACTCCTTGAGCAAAACAAAGAATAGGAGAGCCCACGTTTGCCAACAATGAAGGCAGGAGCGAATGAGTAGGGAGGGTGTGGTAAGCGCAGACAAGCAGAATGCATCGAGTGATAGTGATAGGCCAGCCTAATCTAGACTATCAAGGCCTACCCATGCCCTCACTTCTCCGATGCGGGGATGGAGAGGTGACAATGCTGTGATGGATGGAGTGAATGTGTAGTAATGTGCGCAAGCAGACGAAACACACCACGGGGTGTGTTGGGGGGGGGGGGGACAACACAGCAGGCGAGTTAGCCCAGAGCCCATTCTTTCTGATCGCCAACGCCGTACTGTCAACATCGCTAGATCTTGAGAAAGAAACCTGATTTTATTTTTGATCAAGTAAGACCTAGAGGTCATGTTGAACAACGTCATCATCAGGGGAGATAACAAAAAGAAATAAACAGAAGACCAAACTGATAGATTAGGCGTACTTCATTATTTCCATTGAATTTATTACTGGATTCCTTATAATGAGAATCCTGGTATAACAGACATTTCGCACCGGTCCCCTCCCTCTCGTTATAACAGGATTCCACTGTATTTTATATCCTTTTTTTAACAAGCTATGAAAGCATTTTTTTTTTTGTATGTGTGTTTATTTTTTGCTTTTTCTGCTTTTCATCAGACACCCACTAGGCAGAGGAGTGGCTCTGGAAAAGGAGGCAAACCAGGGTAATGAAAAACTAGATGTATTTAAAAATACAACCTTGATTGTGCTGCATCATATGCAGGGCTCCCCATTACGCACAAATGTGCGTATATTACGCATTAAACCTGCAGATTACCCCCTTAAAGTTTTGATGGTGCGTGAGCTTTACCCTTTTATAATTTCATTTCGGATTTCGGGGGTTTGCATACGCTTTAACACGTATTTGGTGTGCATCTGCCAAGCATCATTTTCCCCCTTCTCTATCCCGAAGCCGAGTCAATGATTTGACCACACACCCACACACTTGCACGACAGTCACCTTCTGTGTCAGAAAAAGTTGACTAGTCGACTTACTTATCAGCTGCGCGCAGTTTCCAGCAACATCGGCTGGCTTCAGCACAGAAGCCTCGCCCACATTCTGGTGGCTCACATTTGCTGATGTCGTGCCTTGAGTTTACCCCTGCTGTGAGATTGCCCCCATCCTTCTTTAACACACTAGTAAACATGAATTGTTGGCCACCGAAAGTGTGGAAAAACTGCAATGTGAACCCTGGGATGACTCTGAAGAATAATGAATCAGTTTATTTTCCAAACCTGCTGCTCATCCCTGCCCTAAATCTCAAGCATCCCTATTTACCCGATTTTGATCGCGTGTACCCCAATTTATTAATTTTTTTTTTGTGGGGGGGGGGGGGGGGGTGTTCCGCCTGTTGTGCCGGATTTTTTTAAAATCTTACTCTGCCTTATTTTCTGTTGTGGGAAGCACTCGTTTAACCTTTTGTCAGCAGGAACTTAGAGCACTATAACTATTTTCCTAAATGTCTATGTCGAATTTAGTAGTTGACTCACCAAAAGTTGTGTTGGATCTTTGCTCAGATGTGTTATTTCAACTATAATGGAAGTAGTATTGATTTGGCATTCCGACTTAAGACATTCTCAAGATCTACTTTCGCCAAAAAATGCTTTGTCCGAGTTCTGGTTAGTCGGGCCCGTCATCAAGACCCGTCAGTAAAACTGTTTCAATAGCACGTTCGCCACACGTGACAGGACTTCGGCGTGTGAGTTTCGCGTGTGTCGGGGACCATTGACAGGGTCAATTTAGGTTCATGCGCACCGGTTGAAGCGTCTTTCGAGACTTATCCGAGGGGGGGGGGGGGTGACGTGTAAAACACTTGGACTAGGAGAGCTTGACGTGATACTTCAGGATTAAAAAAAGAAATAATAATAAAACACACACAGGCATGCGCACGTGCGGGCTTACACCCACACACACACACACACACACACACACACACACAATTACACATGCGTGCACACACACAATACACCACACACACACGCGCGTAGAGGGAATATATACCTGGATATAATAATCAACGCCCCTGGAAATTTTTTAAGTCGGCTTGGCAGTGACCTGAGTGATTTTTCGTTGATCCCGATTTTTTGCACCAAGTCCCAATTTTTTTCCCCCACTGAGATCCTGACTTTTAGATTTCATAGAGTGGCAGGTCTATTTTTCTTGGTGTTTTACAATCGGAATTAACCCCTTTTGGTTTGTCAACTTCATTTTATTTTTTTGATAGGCCCAACTGCTCAACCACCACCACTCTTCCTCCCTCCAAATGGACACAACTCTAATTCTAGTCAATATTACTCTATCATTTCTTAAGTTAATTAAAAATCGTTAGCATTCAAGCATAGTCATGGTCAATCTGTGACACTTTGTGTGTGTCTGTGTGAATGTGCGTTTGAGTTAAACGTTTATAAGCAAAAAATCTTACTATAGAATTATGAGACATTGACTTTTACCCTTTATATTTCTAAAACAAGGGTTTAAATACCCCTTAAGATAGTAAACAAAGTGTGAAGGAATCTCTTAAGTTGGCCTGAAAGGGAGCCCTGATATGACTGTTTGCAGTTTGTTTTGGACTGCTGTTGCAACATTAGTATTTCTTTTACTTTTCAAAGGTGCTATCATATTGATAACATTTTTGTTTGTTCTTTTGAAGATTACATTTAATGTATTGAAGCTTGACCCTCTCGGTAATGTTCTTTTGGAGGTGTAGAGATTGTGTTTGGGGACAACAAAGGCATTTGGAAAACTTCATAAGAGCAATGTTAATTTGTGCTTCCAAACTGTTTTTAGCTTTTTCCTCTTTGTTCTAGTCTTTCATTTTAATGTGATCTTAAAAGCTGACATGGGGAAATAATGATTTGTAATGAGTACTGCAGTGATATATAAAACGATGTTTATTAAGCGGAAACACGAAAATCGTAGGAACACGTCGCTGACTAGCAAAAGTGCGTTTGGGAAATTGTTTATAGAGTAAGTCACATGGTGTGATATGTTATCGTTTATTTATTTCATTTATGAAATAATGTATGCATTATTTTAGCTTGAAAGCCAGTTAAAATCAAATTTAATTGTAAAGCACATAGAGCATGCTTTAGAGCTTGGGTATGCGGTCATCATCATCATCATTGCCTTTCTCACCCTGCACCAGGGTATAGGCCACGGACAAACACCCCCCACTTTTCTCTATCCTGGGCTAGCCTCTTGATGTTATTCCATGTCTTCCCACTTTTCTGTACATCGATTTCTGTGATTCTTCTCCAAGTTCCACGAGGTCTTCCCCTTGATCTCTTGCCCTGTGGGTTCCAATTCAAAACTTTCTTTATTATGCAGTTGCCTGACTTCCTGAGAGTATGTCCAATCCATCACCACCGCCTTCTTCCTACCTCATCTCTGACTGGGATCTGTCTTGTTTTCCTTAACACTTCCACATTGGTGACCCTGTCTGTCCATCTGATCCTCAGTAACTTTCTTAGACACCTGTTCAAGAAAACCTGGATCCTCTTTATACAAGTCTGCAATGCGTTCCATGCCTCACATCCATACAACAGGACCGACTTCACGTTTGAATTGAAAATCCTCAGCTTTGTTCGAAGTGAGATCTCTCTGGTCTTCCAAATCCTATCCAAAGAAATGAAAGCAGCCTGTGCTTTTCCAATGCGGGACTTTATTTCAGCACCTGTTCCTCCCTCTCTGTCAATTATGCTCCCAAGATAACAGAAGGATTCAACGTTTTCTAGGGCCTTTCCTTTTATTGTGACCTGCTCCTTTCGTTGTGCATCTGTCCTTAGTACCTTTGACTTTCCGGGGTGGATCCTCAATCCAACAGACTCCGATAGGCTGTTTAATACTGAAGTCTTTGCTTGTATCTGTTCCTGGGTGTGCGACAGAAGCGCCAAGTCGTCTGCGAAATCCAGATCGTCCAACTGTGTCCATGGTGTCCACTGTATACCATTTCTGTGTCCTCTGGTGGTTTCCTTCATCAGCCAGTCGATTGCCAATATGAAGAGGAACGGTGATAGTAAGCATCCCTGTCTCACTCCAGTCTTGATGTCAAAGCTGTCCGTGAGCTGGCCATCATGTACAACCCTGCAACTTGTCCCTTCGTACATGCTTTTGATGAGGTTCACCAACTTCTGTGGGATTCCGTGGTGTCTCATTATCTTCCATAGTGTCGCTCGGTCTATACTGTCAAAGGCCTTCTCGTAGTCAAGGAAGTTGACAATCAGCTGGGAGTTCCACTCCAGGGACTGTTCCACAATAATCCTCAGCGTGGCAATCTGGTCAGTGGTTGAGCGATTTTTCCGGAAACCGGCCTGTTCATCCCGTAGTCTTGGATCCGTTCCTGTTTTGATTCTTTCCAGAACGATTCTGTTGAAGACCTTACCTGGTATTGAGAGAAGAGTGATCCCTCTATAGTTGCTGCAGTTGTTGAGATCCCCCTTTTTTGAAAGCTTCACGAGGTGTCCTTCTTTCCAATCCTTTGGGAACTTGCTCTCATTCCAGATCCTGGTAAACAGTGAGAGTAGGATGTCTGCCGTCACATTGGCATCTGCTTTTAGGGCTTCAGGTGGAATCTGGTCAGGACCGGCCGTTTTACCTTTGTTCAGCTTCTTAATGGCATCCAGAATCTCTTGTTTTGATGGAGCATCACAGCAGATAGGTAACTCATTTCTTGCTGGCAGTATGTTTGGTGGGTTACTCGGTGGTGGTCTGTTCAGGAGACTGTTGAAATGCTCTACCCATCGCTTAGACTGAGCTTCCTTTCCAAAAACGCTTTTCCCGTCTTGGTCCTTTACAGGTACTTCAGGTTTCCCATATTTTCCAGCAAGTGTCCTTGTGGTCTGGTAAAGTATTCGCATGTGCCCTCCTATCGCTGCTTCCTCTGCCTTCTCTGCTAGCCTGTTTATGAATTCCTCCTTGTCTTTTCTTATTGATTTCTTGACATCTTTAGCTGTTGTCCTGTACTGCTCCAATACATCTGATTTTGATCCTCTTGTTCTACTTGCATTCGCTTCTGCCTTCAGTTGTCTTCTTATCCTAATTAGATCCAATGAGTGTTGGCTAATCCATTCCTTGTGCTCCCATTTCTTCCAACCGAGTACTTCGTGACATGTTGATGTAAAGACTTCTTTGACCTTGGTCCAGTGTGTATCCACCTCCGTGTCCTCCCCGTCAAGATCAGCCAGAGGTTGAAATCTGTTCCTCAGCTGCAGTTGAAACTCTTCTTTCTTGTGTCCGTCCAAGAGACTTACTTGGAACTTGGTTCTTTTGATTCCTGTGCTGGTTCCGTGCTTTTTGAGTCGTAGCTTCAGTTTTGCCAACAGCAGATGATGATCCGATCCAACATCTGCCCCTCTCTGTACTTTGACATCTTCCATTGAACGCCTGAACTTACGAGAGATACAAAAATGATCTATCTGGTTCTCCGTCACTCCATCTGGCGAAACCCATGTGGCCTTGTGGATCCTCTTGTGGGGAAAAACAGAGCCTCCAATAACAAAACTGTTGAAAGCACATATATTTGCGAATCGCTCCCCGTTCTCATTCATTTGTCCCAAGCCATGTTGTCCCATAATTCTTTCATACCCGGGTATGCGGTACATGAATGGAATTATTATTAAATTATTATTAGTATTGTTATTGTTATTATTATTATTGATTTTCCTGCATGTGTGAATTAAGTTGTCTTTTTTTATCCTCTCTCAGAGGCAAGGATGAGAACTTTTACAGTTCATTGGCAGCAATGGCTGACAGTGATGGGGGTTCCGACATTTCAGAAGCTGATGTGAACCAGGTTGCTCATTCTATAGGGGTAAGTAAGTTGGTCTATTCACCTCAGGTGTATGAGCTTTGAATCAATAGTAAAATCTTGGTAATATGAACTCCATGGGTCCAGAGAATTTCTTTGTGTTTAGCAGATTTCGTGTAAAGGGAAGCTGCGATGTGTAGAATAAAAGGGGGAGGGAAGAGAACTGGGGATTTGAAATCTTTTCGTGTTAATGGGAATTTCATGTCAAATGGAGTCTGCTGTACATCCCTGCATAAATTTGTGATCCTTTGTGGGGTTTTGGCCAAAATGCCAGGCTTATTTATTTCACCCTTCTCTCTTTCTGCTCTCAGAGTCCTTGTTACGGCTTGTATTGTCTGATGCAGATTTCTTAATGCATACTCATGCCTTTTGTCTGTCTTTTGTCTTCTTTTTGTCTTCTTTTTCCCATGGGTGAATAATTTTCAAGTGTTTATGTTCGTTTGTCTTTTTTTGTCATGCTTGAAGGGTTTTGGGAGGGGGAGAGGGATTATGATATGAATATCTTACATGCTTTTAGGTGTGTCTTCAATTCACTAGACTTTGGTTTCAGTCAGTGCTTTTATTTTGGGTTTTTGTGTGTGTGGAAGGGGAGGGGGATGTATTCCAATATTTCTAAGAGAAAAAAATACAGTCAAAACATTTTTTTTTAACATTATCATGGGTCATATTAAGACTATTATTGCTCGCATTTTTTCAGTTTTTATTTGGTGTTCCTTCCTTTGTGTTGTCTAGGGTCTGGATGACATGGATGCGGACTTGTTTGGAGGCTCGTTGACAAAGAAAAACAACAACAGCCGCTCAGGATTGCCGACCACCCCGAGAAAAAATTCACGAAAGTCTCCAAGGGTACAGGTTACTTTCTTCTTCCTTTAGGAGGGGTTTAGTTGTATTGTTTTACATTATGAGCGTGGCATGGCAGATCTAAGAGTTAAAGATGTAGGAAAGTATAAGTATGCAATGGACAGGGATGAGAAACTGGCATCTGTGGTGTTGCAGATAGGCACTTCACTGTCGCATGTAGGAGACCCAAGTTCAATTCCCGAGTGGGGAGAAATTTTTATAGAGTATCTGTCGTTCTGCTGGGATGTTGTATTCCTCTCAATCCAGGTAAGCCCTGACAGGCAGTATGGGAAGCCCTCCTCCTATATGATCTAAATTGTGTGCATGGGGGCGTAAAAATACCTTTAAAAAAATTAAAAATTAATTATTAAAAGAGATGAGAACTATGTTGCTGTCTCTGTGATGCAGCATACGTATCAGACGCCAGGGTGTAGGAGAAAGCAATATCTAAGGCTCACTATGGAGATTCCTGCATGTTCTCACACCATGCTGTCTCCACAGATCTCTTCCTGCAGGTCGAGCTTTGAGAAAAGAAATAGTTTTATATGCCTTTTATCATCTTTTGAGCCATAAAAGGTCATTTTCCAGCAGCAGTTATACATGTCTGATATCTCAGTTGATATCCCCCCGCCAGACCCCCATGTTTACAACTGATCGGCCGTAGTGGCGGGGCATTTTGGGCGGGTTACTTCCAGTGAAACGCTGAGCGCTTCTAGGGTTAAATGCCTTATCTCGTATGCATTGACAGAGTTGGTGCAGTTTATATTATGTCTATCTGTCCTGTTGTCCAAAAATAGATGTAATTGGTGTAATTTATTGTTGGCTAATGAAACACTTTAATATCCGAAGCAGCACTGTATTAAACAGAATTTTCTTGTCATTTTATTCGTCAGTCCCCCACTCGGAGTGAAACACCTACCAGCCCTCCGGGAAGTGCAAGAGGAAGTCTTAAAAAGAAACCAGTGAAGCCTCCGTCCCCTGCACCGTCCCCTGTCAGCTCGAACGCTATGTCTCTACCTCAGACACACCCAGAATTTAAACCAGGAACAGCTCCAGGAAAAATGACAGGTTGTTTACTTGTATATTCAAAAGTTTCGTTATGGTTTTTAGCATTCTTTGTGGTCAATTTGTTACAACTATAAGCACTTTGAAAAGTTAAAGATTCATAGTTTATGGTTTGGTTTATTTCATGTCTTTCTTTATTGCTGTTGAATAACTTCAAGGAAAATTATTGCAGAAAGAAAGAGCTGAATGGTTAATGCTTTAGTTGTGGATGAATGTAGTTCTGGTATCATGGCATATTAAAATGATTGTCTGCGACTGATTTAGACCCGTCATATCTCAGTTCTATTTTTGGTTTGATCTCAGATATGAGTTCAGCAAGTGAGAACCTCAAACCAAACCAGCCAATAAGCCAGCGACCTGAAACAGCACCAAAGGTGAAAAAGAAATATGATTTTGGAGGTAAGGTATAAATGGTTTTGTCACTTTTTTAAAGGTTATATCAGTGAATAATAACTACTTTTGAAAGTTGAAATAAAAGTGAAAAAACTAGTAGTATGATGAAATTAGTTCATAGAAACTGTTCATGTCCACTGTTTTCCTCTTTCTCCATTTTCGTAAAATGATATTGTGCACAAACCAAATCAGTTTCAAAGTTTGAGATTTTTGTCATACAGAAGACTATTAGATTAATAAAATCTTTTCTGCCTTGTCTTGAATATTTATTGCAGTATTTTGATGTGTGTCAATTGGGATTCATACCTTTTGTTGTTTTTGCTTAATTTTTTGTGTGTATTTATACTGCATAATTACCCCCCCCGGGCGGTGCCACTGACTGAAGTGTCTTTAGGCCATTCCTAAAGGGGGACATTTCTTGTTCTAATGCACAGAAGAATTGTAAATGGGCTGATCCAACAATGGCTTGCTCATAACTGTGCCTCAACTACAACAGGGAACTGCTGCTTTTTCTTTCCTAATCCTTACCATCGTCATATTCCTCTACTTCTTTTGTCCACTATTTGCGTGGTGCCTTGAAAGTCGAAGCAGACTTTGTGTTGTTGAAGTTAGAGAGGTGAGCAGAGTAAGCCTGATTCCCTGTAAGAACTTCTCTGTTGACATCCACCCCTTGGCGCTCATATAACCTTGTGCAGTTGCAACTGCTTTAAAACCTCTACTAAAACAAACAATACTGCATAATGTGGGTAGAGAAAAATGTATGTACTTAACATTGTCCTTTTATAACAGATTTTGACCCTGACGACCCACTTGCTGGAGTTCTGTCAAGTGATGGAGACGATGACATTTCTGAAAGGGATCGTCCTAGATCTTCCACCAAGAGGCCAGCAGCTGCTCCTCTGGCACAGTCAAAGCCTGCAGAAAATGCTCTGAAATCAGATTCAAGACAGGGTATGTAGTTTGAATGTGGTGTCAATTTTGAGCGCAGAACCTAATTACTGTAGGTTGCCCTGTCGTTTATCAATGACAGAGTGTATTGGTGTACTTATTTGATACACTTCCTGTTTTTTGGTGTGGGTTCACCGTTAGGTTCAGTGGTGAGGAAGTAATTAGTTATGTTTGCCTCGCCTACATTTTATTTCAACACATGTTGGTTCAAAGGAGACAAACTTTCTTTTTGCACGCTCATATGACCGTATCCAGTTGCAAGCACTGTAAAACTCTTAACAACAACAACAACCCCCCCCCCCCCCCCCCCCAGCTTTATATTGAAAGTTTTACTCGTTAATAATCCTCATTGTGCAGAAAGTGGAAACCCCAATCAAAAGTGGAATTTCCTGAGGTTGGTGGCTTTGCAAGATACTGTTCCAGTGCCACATTATATCACAGTCTGAGTGGTGTGAAGAGAGATGTTAGCACAAATTTAGATGGGTGATTCAGTAAACTTGTTTTGTATTCGCTTCTTCTCCTGATCACTGTTTTGTAGCATGCTTTATTTTTCTACTGTTTTTCAAAGGAACACCCCCCCCCCCCCCCCTCCCAAAGAAAAATTTTTAAAACATTTTTTAATCAACCCAACAAACCCACATAATTTATTTACAAAATCTTTTCATGGCTTGGTTTACTGTAACTCAACTTTGATGTGATCTAATGCTGCGTTAATTCATGCCTTTGATTGTTCAATTCCCGTTATGTAAAAGACTGAAGTGAATTTTCTCTATGTTGTTCTTTTAGTCTGTGCTCAGAACAAATGAAGATAATCTTTCTTTTTTTTGTGTAGTCAGGATTATAGTTGCAGCCTCTTCTCACTGCCTTTCCAAATGTTGAATTCAATGACCATTGTCAAAGGCAATTTTATTCTATTAAAATGAGCTTAAACTCTTAGACACCAGCACATCTATTGACTAGATGCTGCACTATTGGTTTTTTTCCTGTTTCCCTCTGTTAATAGAAAGATCTGCTTGCTTTTACTGAAACTGTACCCTAATGTTTTAAATTTTTAATCTTTTCAGAGCATTTTGATGGGCACCGCATGCTTGTAGCTCAAAACCTACATTTTTTCATGCTGGAAATCATAATGGTTATACATTCAAACTAAACTTTGCTTTCGACTTGTGAGAGTTAAACTCGTACAATTCCTTACCATGCCTGCCCTTTCTCTGCTTTCAGATTCGCCTCGGAGAAGAAACAACCTGATGGAGCGGCCTCCGACCAGAAGTGGTAGCAATGCCGGTGATGGTGCCAGTGCACGAAACGGACTCTCTGGTGCTGGGGATGCTGGGGGTAAGAAAGGTTGGCTCCATTTTGATTACTTAGTGTAAGACTGCCGTACGCCATTTTGAAAAGTGGCGTATGATGAAGTCTTACACTTAGCAACCCATTTGCAATCACATTGCTTGGATGATGTGGAGCTTGAATTTTCAAAACATAAAAATGAAGAAGTCTTGACTCTTACACTGATATTGTGTACTTTTTATAGGAAAGGAATTTGCTTTACGTTGCGCTTCTTTTTTGTTTGTTTGTCCACTCCACTGGTTACATGAAATGTACGTATTTGAAAAGATTATCTCAGTGAATAAAAGATTGTATTGAATACTTCAACCACTTCTTCAAGCCAAGGATTTAAGTCATGATTTGATCATCAACAACACGGTGTCATTAAAAATGGTTTTTGGAATAGGAAAAAAAGAATGCGGGGGGG